ATAATTCGCTCAATGGCTAGCCAGTGATCACTGCTAGGTTTGTTAGTAAACCTGCTAAGTACTCCAACTACATAGGCAATGTCAGGTCTAGTAAAGTCAATCGCATAACGCAAGCTACCAATTATACTAGCATATTCATTTTAATTAATTACATCCTCATCATTTTCAATAGGAAATAAACGCACATGAGGATAAAAAGGAGTAAGAACATGCTTGCACTTATAAAAATTATATTTTCTCAAAATTTTTTCAACATAATGCGACTGATTAAGAAATATACCATCACATGTTTTGGTAATTTTCATTCCCAAAATATAATTAGCCTCACTAAGATCTTTTATATCAAAATGGCTACTAAGCATATTTTTAGTTTCCATGATGATATGCAAATTATAGCCAAATATAAGTAAATTATCTACATAGATGATAAAGGCTAATAATCACATGTGAATTTTCTTCAGATTTATAGTAGATACATTTATCACATTCATTAGTTTTATAGCCATTCTTAATCATGCAGGAATAAAATTTCTCATGCCACTGTTTAGGGGTCTATTTTAAGCCATATAGGGATTTCACTAGCTTGCACACTTTGCTTTCTTGACCGAGTTCTACAAAACCCTCAGGTTGATCCATATAGATTTCTTCATCCATGTCTCCATTTAAAAATGTTGTTTTAACATCTATTTGATGAATTTTTAGATCATGAATTGCAACCATTGCAATTAATAATCTAATGGATGTAACTCTAATAACCAGAGAAAATATATCAAAAAAGTCAAGATCTGCTTGTTGTTTAAAACCTTTTGCAACAAGCCTTACTTTATAATTATTAACAGTTCTATCTAGTTTAAGTTTTTTCCTCAAAACCCATTTACAACCAATAGTTTTATAACCTGGTGCTAAATTTACTAATACTCAAGTTTTATTAGATAATAATGATTCCATCTCATCATTTATAGCCTCGTTCCAAAAAACAGAGTCAGGAGATATCAAAGCTTCTTGTAAAGTTAATGGAATTTCCTCCACATTAAAAACATGATAATCAGGGCCAAATTTTTTTTCTAATCTGGCTTTTTTACTCCTTTTAGGTTCAAAAACTACGGTGTCTTAGTTTTGTAAAAAAGGAATAGAGGAACAGATAAATATTTTCTTGATAATTTTGACTTCCACCATTTTTAGATTTAAAAGGAAATTTTTCTTCATGAAAAATTATATCACCTGATTCAAAAATTATTTTGTTTTCAATATCAAAAAATCTATAGGCTGTACTATTTGTTGCATGTCTAAGAAAAGCACGAGTGGCAGTTTTCACACCTAATTTAGGTCTTTTAGGGTTCACAAGTCTAACAAAAGTTAGACAACTCCAAACCGTCAAATATCCCAAATTTGGCTTATGCCCTTTCCACAACTCAAAAGGTGTAACTTTTGTTTTTTTATGTGGCACTCTATTCATAACATAACATGCAATTAAAATTGCTTCTCCCTACAAATTTGAAGGAGCACCTGCTTCAATTAGCATAGCATTTGTTAAATCAGTTAAAGTTTTTTTTTTTTTTTTTTTGGCTACACCATTAGATGTAGGTGAATATGGTGGAGTAGTTTCATAGATTATTCCCAAAGACTGAGCAAACGAGTTGAATTCAAAAGATTCATACTCCCGGCCTCTATCACTTCTATATCTTTTAATCTTTTTACCAAATTGATTTTCAACTTCAAGTAGGAATTCTTTAAATTTTTTAAAAGCATCATTTTTATTTTTCAACAAGTATACATATGTGTATTTTGAAAAATCATCAATAAAAGTGATAAAATATCTATTTCCACCACGTGTTAAAATTCTTTCAAATTCACATAATCAGTGTAAATTAATTCTAGCAATTCAGTATTTTTCACCATACTTTTATAAGGCCTTTTAGTTATTTTTGCTTGACTGCAAACATCACATCTCTCAAGATTATTTGTTAGTCTGGGAATTAATCCTAAACAACTCATGACTCCTACATATTGGCTATTTATATGACACAGACGAGCATGCCAAAAATTCATAGAAGATAGCCTGTAAACAGAAACATGTGCTTTCTTATTCTCAACATTTAATTTAGCATTCCATCACTTGCATATCCTTTTCCCACAAATATGCTTTTTTTAGTGATTACATATTGATCAGATTTAATGGTTTGCTTGAAACCAACTTTGTTGAGCAAATAATTCGACAAATTTTTTTTTCCTCATAGATGGTTTGTACAACACATTTTTTAAAACAAACACATGTCTAAAGGTAAATTTCAGCTCAACATTCCCATACCCGAGCACCTTGGTTAAACTAAAGTCACCAAGCATAATAGTCCTCTCCTCAATAAAGGGAGTAAAATCTTTGAACCAATATTTTTCATAGCAGGCATGCCTATTGGCACCAGAGTCAGCCTACCACCCTTCCACAGATTGAATCATAAAAATATCTGTAATCATAGCCACAAATGGTTCGTCGGTAACATTGGCTTGTGGTCGAGACTGTTGTTTCCAAAATTTGCAAGTTTGAGCAATATGCCCACTTTTGCCACACATAAAACATGTCACATTTGTCAGATCTTGTGAAGGGGGTTCTTGGTTCCATTTCTTTTGCCTCGGGTAATTTTTATTTTGTGGCCTTTTAGTGTTTTTCCAAATTTTCTTAACTAGCTTCAAGTGACTATTTTTATGAAATTGACCTGTAGGTAAAGTATTTCCAGAAGTTAAATTTACCTTGACAGTGGAATGCTCTTGTGTCATAAGTGCATCTTGTCCTCGTGCTTCCTCCTCCACCCGAATCCGTGTGATTAGAGTCTCCAAGGACGTCTCTTTTTGCTTGTGACGCATTGACTTCTGGAACTCCTTCTAAGATGATGGTAGTTTGTCAATAATACTTGCTACAACAAGATTGTCTGCAATTTTGATGCTTTCAGAACTAATGTCAACCACTAGTATCTAAAAATCTTGAACTTACTCCATCACTAATTTTCCATCTATAGCGAAAAAAACGGCTTGCAACATATTTTTTAGCGCCTGCCTCTTGTGTCTCATATTTATTCTGCAAGGCTTTCCAAATTTTCTTAGCAGTGATGTAAGTAGTATTATAATAATCATAAAATTGATCCGAAAAACAATTCAAAAGATAATACTGACATTTATACTCATTTGTGTTGTATTTCTCGATTTTTTTAAGATGAGCGGCATACTCCTCGTCGGTCATCTCTTTAGTGGGGACTTTGTTCGGATTTTTCTTAGTCAGGATATAGGCCACCTTGAGGAGATTGATGTAGAAAAGCACATTGTCTTTCCATCTCTTGAAATGGGCTCCCTTGAACCAGAAGAGCTTGTTGAGATCGCTAGTATTCTCGTTGGACTTCTCTAATACTGGCTCCATGAATTTTACTGTTTGAATCTCCTTAAAATTGTTGGTGATAATTACAAACAAAACACCAAAAAATACAAAAAAATAAACATTAAAATAATTATTGAAAGGACTGAGGCGCGAAAAATTCGCTCTCTTTAAAGAGATTCAATCCCTTTGCGATTAGGCATAGCCTCACACTGGTGCAGCAGAAAAAACCTTGACTTGTCCCTCCCAAGATACAACAGCTCGACTAAATTGTATGGTTTACTAATATTGCACAATTGGTTAAACCCCAAACTTTATCACATACACCATTTTTTATTTGTCTGATAATCTCACACAAACATGATAAAACAACAAAAACTTATTCTATTTCTAAGATAAGATGTTAGCTCAATTTATAGGAGAAGAAAACTTGGTAGGTAAGAAAAGAGTTTTCTTGGAGGAGAGGAAACTTAGTGGGCAAGTTTTGTTTGGTGGGCAAGAAAACTTGGTGGGAAACTTGGTGGGAAAGAAAAAAAATTTGGTGAACAAGTTGCTTGGATCCCAAGCAAACAATATAATTTATAACACATTATAATATTAAAATATCTTCTAACAGAATACAATGAAGACTTAAGGTTGTTTGGATTTTGAATTTAAGTAGAGATTTAAAAAAGAAAATGTGTCATGTGAATGAAATATAAACTAATTTTTTTCTCTATTTTCTTTATTTTTTTATATTTCTTTTTCCAAATTTCTATCCAAATCCCTAATCCAAACGCAAACTTATTTGTAATATAGGACATAATGAACTAGAAATTGCCCCGACCACATCATGGACATTAATGTGAGCTCAATGACAGAAGGCAAAGCCAGTCAGATTTAGGTGTATTCCCTTTTATTTTCATGGGAACAAGTGTGAAAGTGCAATCACAACTGTAAATAGTGGTCTTAACATTGGCATATCTACCAATTGTTACCAAAGCTAACGTTCTTGATGGAATTGAAATATATAAAATAAAAACAAAAAAGGGTCAAAATTGTTGGGATTATATTGGTTTTTGATGCAACTGATCTAAAATTGATGGACCAAACGTGGAACTTGTTGAATTAACAGTTGAAGCTATAAATGAGAGAGAAGTGGAAACAAATAGAAACGAGCTTGATGCTTTTCTTCAGCGTTGTTCAGTCAATTCTTTAGATTGAACAAAAAAATTTTTTTCAAATTTTATGAACTTTCTTGCGAACGAGGCACAGGTTAGAAAATTAATTAATTTTTATTTTTCTTTTTTTTTACATCAATTTCCTCCGGAAGAATTTTTCTTGTATCATTTTCCTGAAAGCCAAACAGAGGGAAAAAGAGTGGAGAGACGGTGGGAGAATGAGAGCACTCAAATAGAGTTAAGAGATTAAAATGAATGGTTTACCTCTCTCCTTGTTCTGCTTTTATAATGGATTTTTATTGATCAAAAATTGATGAACAAAATTGCAGGAAAATGATGCTTAAAGTTAAAGCATAAAATTGTTTGGAAATATGTTAAAAACATTTTTAAAAAAAAAAATGTTTTCGCTAAATCCATAAAACTGAGACAGTGAAAACAGTAAGCCTGCTATTTGAATCAAAATTTAAACTAATGGTTTGAAGGAGCCCAAACATTTGGAAAGGGCTCTCCAAAAATAGGCGTATGCCACTATTTGCGACGAGCACACGGTATTCTTTAGTAAAAGGCGAAAGAATAGTTCGCTTTGTGCTCATCGAGTGGCTGCGTGAATTCACTTTGTTGAATCACCCACCCTTATGAACCACTTTCAAGAACCATAGTTGGGTTTGTGAGTCGATGTGGGACGAAATTTCTCCAACTTTGTCAGGTAGGGACATATTAAACGTTCTTTCAATCTTTTATGGATCCACATGATCTGAAATAGAAGGGAAAAAGTGAGCATTGGGTGGACACCAGCGTGTGACGCTAGTTTAAACTCCTGTCCTTCAGTTAGCAATTAGGATATTGAGTTTGATGATAATCTTTAAACATGAGAGAGAGAGAGTGAGTTAGAACTAATAATAGTTTATCTTCCTCTTCTTTTTGTTGTGAGCTTCTTATGTGGCGTGCCTCGTGGGCTTTACCTAGGACTAATCGACTTCTAAGTAAGCTTGCATATCTACCAATTGCTACCGAAGAGAATTGAAACATGGAACTTGTTGTATTAACAGTTGAACCTATAATCAGATAGAGTGGACACTACAGAAATGAACCAATGACAGCATATCCTCATTGATGCATATTATAAACCCATGTCTCAGTGATGTTTCTTCAGCAATTTTATCTGTAAAGTAATATAAAATAGTTTAGAAACATGTTAAAAATAATCAATTGAATAAATTATTATAAAAAATCAAATGAAATTAACTCCACACACAAAGTTCTCCAAAACCAAATGATTAAAAAGTAAGACAGTCATTGGAAACAAAATTTAGACTCAGGATTTGAAAAGAACCCAGACCTTTGGAAAGGGCTCTCCAAAAATTATCGTATGCCACAACTTGCGGCAAGCACACGGTATTCTTTAGTAAAAGGCGAAAGAATAGTTCGCTTTGTGCTCACCGCGTGGCTGCGTGAGTGTTACAGTTTAATCACCCATCCTTATGAATTTCTTTCCTTGAACACAGTTGGGTCTGTGAATCGATATGGGAGCAAATTTCTCCAACTATTCTTTATTTGAGTATCTATGATTGGACTGATTGATACCGTATTGGGTTGTCTTTCACTTTGACTAGAAAGCAAAGGAAAATGAAAACCATATATTTTGTTACAGTATTAGGTTTACAATTTTAGTACAATTGTATTATGCTACCGTGAAATATAAATGTCATAGTGCTTTGGCCCATACCATTGGTCATCATAATCATATTTTAGTCAAATGTATAGAAAATGATGATACCATTATTTATTAGATTAAAATATTTATTTTACTCTTCATTATTTTTAGAATTAAGATTAGATAAATTCTTTAGATAAGAAGGATAATCATGTCATTTGACATTAATACATATTTAAATTCAAAATATTTAGCACTAATATAGTAATTTCATGACTTTGATAACACATCATTACGAGGAGATCAATGTAATTTTACTAAATTATAGATTTAGTTGTAATTTATTCATAGTTTGAGAGAAGTTACAATTTATCCTTATTTTTATTTTCCTTCTCTTAAATTATTTTCGAGAATCACTTTGTTGTTGTAAGAGGGGCTAATTTGAGCCCACTAAATTATTTAGGCCCAATAGCCCAAGATTAGTGGGCCCGAATTTATCGCAAGTCCAAAAATCGGTGGACCCAGATTTATCGCCATCAAACGGATTAATCACATGTTAAGGTTATGTTTGTTTGGAAGGATTGAATTAGATGAGATTAGCATATGCTTACAAGAGTTTGGATATTGGCTCGAGATTATGAGGTGAAATTGACAAAATTTTATCAATCTTGTAGTTTGACTAATTAATTTAAATTTCTCCATAATTCTCTATTTTTATATCCCAACGATGATTCTTTTTGCTCTCTTTCTCCTTAATTCTAATTAGTTGAAACCATTTGATGTCCGAAGAGATAAAGTTGTTGAGGAGATCACATGGGATATTTGTTGAGAAATTTGCCGGCTTTACTTTTGGTTGTTTTTCATTTTGCAGAAAGTATTGTGGTCACAAATTATTGAGATTTAAGCCTTAGCAATTATTTGAGAAATCTTCATCAAAGTAGATACTGTTTGCTTTTGGTTTGAGAATTGTGAGATAGTTTCCAATAATTCATCATCTAGATCATTTTCATTTTAATGACCTTTTTATTAATCTTATAATTTAACTAATTCGTGTAAATTTCTCCTTAATTCCCTATTTTTATGTCTCAATGATGGTTATTTTTGGTCGCTTTCTCCTTAATTGTAATTAGTGGAAACCATTTGATGTCCGGAGAGATAAAGTTGTTGAGGAGATCACATGGAATGTTTTCTTTTGCAGGTGTTACTTTTGCAGATTTTACTTTTGGTTATTTGTCATTTTTGCAGAAACTATTGTGGTTGCAGATTATTCACAGATTGTTGAGAAATCTTCATCAAGGTTTTGTGTGGAAAACTGGGTTGGATATGTTGGTTGACTGATAGATACTGTTCATTTTTTAATTTTTATCTTACTAGGAAAATTACAAATCCTATATACTCTTAAAAAATAATTACCTATAAATGAAAAAAATTATGATTTTAATAATTAAAATTTATAAATTATACCATTACTCTGAATTTTTTTTCCCTTTCAACCCCTACATTGATTTGTTATTTCCCATATCTCATTTGTCAATGAATTTTTTTTTTTTTTTGGAACTAATATTTTGTCACAATATATTTTGAACTAATATTTGTCACAAAAGAATTGGCAGCATGGAATTCAAGTCCAATTTGTCTTCTAATTCTAATTTTAAGGCTAGAATTTCATGCTGTCTAACACAACAACAAAATAATAATAATAATAATAATAATAATAATAATAATAACACAGCAACATTAATCATTTGAAGAGTGCATAATCCATGTTAGCTGTATTGGTGAGAGTCACATGGAAAGGCCAACGCAAATCATATTGATCAAATCGGGCAACCAATAATTCAACATTCTCAATCCCCACTTTGACTGAAACTGGTTGATTGATTTTGTGGCTAAAACCAACAAACAATGATGGCCAATTTTGGATTAAGGATTTGAACTCTTTGTATTGGTAATCTAAGCCAAAACTCTGGCTTGCTTCTCTCATGTCAAAATTGTGAGTTTTCAATTTTAATGAATATTTAAAAGAGAGACGAATCCTGAGAAACAGCTATTTCATTTAAAAAAGGTAGAAAAGGGAAAAAAAATTATTTAGGAGTTTGAGATGATCATGTTGTTTTTTGTTTCCATTACTCATCATTGGTAATTTATGGTAGAAAACGACCTATGATCCCACCTACTTAAGATCTATTAGAAGGTGTGGTTTTGGAACCGGCCAAAGTAAAAATAAAAAGATAATAACCACATGTAGTGCAAAAGGAACTAATTTAGGAGGGAGCATGTTGTACATGATACCTAATATACCACTAGACTTTGCATGAAATATTAATAGGGTCTCAAAATTTTAGGGGGGCCTTGGCTCCTCCATAGACCACCTTACTTCTGCATGTAGCTACTACCATCGTATTGATGTGGTAGATTTTTACTGAAAACTAGATCAATTCAACCTAACACGTCATGTAAAAGTAACATACCAAGGTCAGAATGTTGGTAAAAGCCTCATAGGATTGTAAACCTTGTCATATCTGGGCAAGAATGTGATTATGGTAAACCATTGACCCTCTGTATAGCGAAGGAACCATGATGGGAAGGTATATGAAAAATATATCCCACCCTACACAGGAAGAACTAAGGTGCTCACTCAGCCAAACTTTCGGCCAGTTGCTTTAGTTGTTTGATTCATTTATATGAATACAATGAAGTATTAAGATTGTTTGGATTTTAAATTTGGGTAGACATTTGAAAATGAAAATGTGAGAGATGTAAATGAAATATAAACTAATTTTTTGTTCTATTTCTTTTCTTTTTTTTTTCCTTTTATTTTTCAAATTTATATCTAAGTTCATTGTAATATAGGAAAGAATGAACAAGAAATCGCCCCCCACCACATCACTGACATTAAATGTGAGCTCAATGACAAAAGGCAAAGCCAGTCAGATTTATGAGTGTTCTTTTTTATTTTCATGGGAACAAGTGTGAAAGTGGCAATCACAATTGGAAATAGTAATCTTAACCTTGGCATATCTACCAATTGTTACCAAAGCAAACATGAGAAGGCAAAATTTAGTTTATCCCTTTATGGTTTGGGTTTAGAGTAGTTTACTCTTATATAGTTCAAAAATAGGCAAACTAACTCTTTTGTAGTTTTGATCATTTTACACTTTGCCTCCTTACCGTTATTAATTTTGTCTAAAATAACATAGAGTTTTAGATGGAGAGTGTTCCACGCTTGCTAAAATTGAGAGTTGACAATGAAAAAAATTAGAAGTCAAAGTCAAAATTCAATATTAAAAGACAAACAAACTCTTCATCTTCATCTTCTTCTCCAATCAACATAAAACTCAAATTCTAACCCTAACCCTCTGCATTCACTAGCCACCACCACCTTTCTTCTCCTCTTACCACCGTCTGTCGCCACTCGGAATTCTTAACCCTAACTTGCTTTCCAAAGACATGGAATAGTCCGTAATTTCAAATTCCGGAGAGAAGTCCGATCGATCTTCGAGGGTGAACATAGGAGAAGGGGGGGAGAAGATCGGAATTGACGAAATTCTCGTGCTATAGTGCTGAAACAGCAATAGCTTGACTTGGGGTTGTGAATTTTCCACTTCCTCTATGGGTTGTAGAAACAGGGTAAGCCAAATCATGGAAGAACAATGATTGTCTTCTAGATTTAGGAGTTCTATGTGCTGTGGTACTCATTTTTCTTCTATGATAACTGTAAATCTACAATTAAACAGTTGAAGATGATGAAGAAAAACATATAAATCACATTCAAACACATATATAGAGGGTATTTGTGCTGATCTAAGCATACTTTTTGACTTTTTACGAAAAGATACGTAAAAAAGTAGAGAGTTAATGTGACCCAAAAAAGATAAAAAAGTATGCTAATATAGGGATGTCAAATAGTGCCATAATCGATTTCACAAACATACACACATAATCGATTGAGAGAGAGAGAGAGAGAGAGAGAGAGACCTGCATATAGTGGTGTTTTGAGAAGTTGGTAAAAAGTTAATTTTTTGACTTTTTTAGTCTATTTTATTTTTTTGTGGGTAAAAAATGTGAGAGGTGATAGTGACCCAAAATGGGTAAAAAGCTAAATGCTGACTTTTTTTTTTACTTCCCAAAAGACCCATAGTATATATATTATTGTAGCCCATGTTGGCAGGAAAAAAAAAGTCATCTCTTTTTCAATTTTTTTTTGTCTTTAATGTTTTTTTAATTATAAATTACATCAATTTTTTTTACTTTTTTGATTCGTTTTATCAAGACGAACCTAAAAAGTATATATTTTTTTGAAGAAATTCTAAAAAAAATCATTAAAGATGAAAATAAGTTTAAAAAGATTGTTTATGTTGACTTATTTTTGTCTAATCTAGATTTTTTTGGATATTTTTTAAAGAAATTAATTTTTCAGTTTGCCTTGTCTAGTTGAATCTAAAAATCTAAAACTTTTTGATTTTTTTTTTTTAATTTTAAAAAGCTCGCTAAAAACGAAAATAAACCAAAAGAACAAAAGCCAAAAATGTACTTCCCAAAACACCCATGTATGTATAGATATATATATATATATACCAATTAAACACCCCTATGTATGTATAGATATATATATATATATATACCAATTTGTGTAAAATAAAATAAAATTAATCAAATGAAAATACCAATTTCTTCTATGTAAAAACACAGTATGTGTATATATATATATATATTTGTGTAAAATATAATAAAATGAAAATTAGTTTAGAAAGTTAAAAATTAAAATAAGTAACTAGAGATCTATAGT